GAAACCCTCGACGTGTCAGGGAATGACGAAGGACTGATTGCAGGGGAATTCACATAGGGCCTCCTCCCTGGCCCGCTTTCCCAGAAGCTCATGGGAAAGAAACCTCAGACGCGGGGATAGTTGAAAGAAAAGGTGGAAAGATACTTATGACAGGAAGAAGGGGAGGCCTCGAAACAATCGTACCTCAACGCCATGGAAACCCCAACCGCAAAGCACCATCGTCTAGGCTGGGACGACAGGCGAGGAGGACATAGGTACCACGGGCGAGACATACGGTTCATAACTTTTGCAAGGGATGACAGGCGGGGACGACATGCAGAAATATACACTGTCGCTGACTAACCAACGACCAAAAGGAAGAAGACGCACTACTGTGAATATCACAAAAGCAGAACGCATGCCACAACCAACTGCTCGGTCCTGAAGCGTGAAATGGAGGAAAAGTAGCTAAAGGGAAACATAGTGGAGATCGCCCGAAGCCTACGCGCCAAGTTCGATGTAGAAAACCCTAAAGACAACACAAGAGGAGGAAATTGCCGCCAAGAGATCTTGACAATACGCCACAAACGAGGAAGGATGGAGCACGCAGACGACGTAAGCGGCATCACAAAGGCAATACAAGGCCTGACTTTCTCAATGACTGACCCAAGGCTGCCCGACTGGAGAAAGGATGACCCACTTGTAATCCAATGGTCCATCCGAGACATCATCATTCACCGTGTCCACGTCGACTAAGGAAGCTCAACGGATATCATATATGAGCACTGCTTCCGATTGCTCCCGGAAAAATGGAAGGAAGATTTGAAACCGGCGCCAGGCCAGCTGACATGTTTTATGGGGCATATCATATGGCCTTTAGGTACGATTCACCTACTATTCACACTCACTAGCCACGGAAAAAACATATGCAAGACAACCCTCATCGACTTCGTCGTTGTGCGACATTTTTCCGAACACAATGTCATATTGGGACGAACAACCCTGCTCATGTTTGGAGCAATATCATTCACCATCCACGAGATATTGAAATTTGGCATGAGCCAAGGGTCAGGGACGGTCCTGGACACCTCTCCAGAAGTCCTAAAATTCTATGAGATCATGCAACCAAGAGAAATTTCCGAAGAATCAAAGAGGGCCCGCTCGGAAGTCCCTAAAGGGAAGGAGGTCATCAATCGGGATCACCCCCACCAACTGGTCAATATAGGGGTCACCCTCCCTCAGAAAACAAGACAAGCATTGATAGAGCTCCTAAAGAAATACAGTCATGTATTTTCATGGACTCTTACCATATGGTAGGAGTCGATCGAGGGGTCATAGAATACAAGCTGATGATCAGGCCTGGGACCAAGGAGGTAAAACAGAAAAACACGTTCAGGGGGGAGACCGGAACAAGGCAATAAACGTAGAGGTAGCCAAGCTAACCAAAGCCGGCGTTCTCCGGGAGGCAGTCTTCCCAACATGGATTGCCAATCCGGTCATGGTTAAAAAACATGACGAGACATGGCATATGTGTATCGACTACTCAGACTTAAACAAGACATGTCCCAAGGATTGCTATCCGCTCCCAGAGATAGACCATAAGGTAGAATCCATGCACGGTTTCTAGTGGAAATGTTTCCTAGATGCATATAAAGGCTACCACCAGATCCTCATGAGCAAGGAAGACGAAGACAAGACCGCCTTTTACACAGACCACAGTGCCTTTTGTTACCAAAAAAATGCCGTTTGGACTGAAGAACGCAGGCGCAACTTACCAGAGGTTGGTTGATTCTCTCTTCACCAACCAAATTGGCCGAAACATCGAAGTCTATGTGGACGACATGGTCATAAAGAGCCCAGACGAGTAGAGGCTGCTGGCGGACGTGGAAGAAACACTGCAAGAACCTAGAGAAATTAAAAATGAAACTGAACCCCGCAAGTACACCTTTGGGGTAGAATAAGGACAATTCCTAGGGTATTACATTACAAAAGAAGAAATCCAACCTAGCCCCACCAAAGATAGCAAAACTCAAAGAAGTAGCATCACCCCACACGCTAACAGACGCCCAAGGCTTGAACGGTAAGCTGACGACACTAATTCGTTTCATTTCTAAGTCAGCCGAGAAGGCGATGCCACTATTTGACACGCTTAAAGGATGCATCGAGAAAAACAACTTCCGTTGAAGTCGCACTACACCAAATAAAGGAAGCACTACACACATTACCCACACTGGCCAGCCCAATCCCTGGCGAGACGCTCCAAATATACTTGTCAGCATCTAATGAAGCTATGTCATCGGTGCTAGTAGTGGAATGATAAGGAAAGCAACTCCCTATATACTTTGTTAGCCGGACACTACAAGGACCAGAACTCAATTACCCTATCATCGAAAAACTCATTCTAGCATTGGTATACGCAGCCCGGAGATTGCGGCGATACTTCCAATCACACCAAATAGAGGTCCTAACTAGCTGCCCAATCAAAGAAGTACTCCTGAAACCAGAAACCTCAGGGCGCCTCGCAAAATGGGCCATCGAATTTGCGGAACACAATATTAGCTACCACCCCCGAACAAGCATCAAAAGGCAGGCGCTAGCGGATTTTCTGCTGGAGATACCAGGAGAACTGCAGAAGCAGATACAAGAGAGCATGCAAAAGGAGCTATAACACGAATGAGATAGCCAGGCTTGGACCCTATACACTGATGGGGCTTCCAGTAGGAAGGGTCTGGGGCAGGCCTCATCCTAACTATCCCCACGGGCGAATAAGTCACTTACGCTCTACGTTTCGACTTCCATACATCCAACAATGAGGCCAAGTATGAAGCCTTGCTAGCAGGACTAAGACTTGCGGTGAAGATGGGAGCAGAAAAGGTGACGACCCTAACTGACTCTAGACTGGCCACCAACCAAATCACGGGGGAGTTTGAAGCGAAGGATAAAAGGATGGAAAAATATGTGAAAGCAGTTCAGCAGATCACAAGTTCACTCATGAGTTTCTCCATCAAAAAAATACGAAGGGGAAGCAACAGGCGAGCTGACCCTTTGAGTAAGCTTGCATCAACATGTTTTGAACACTTATCCAAAGAAGTCTTAGTGGAAGTACTCAAAGAGCGAAACATCAACGAGCGTCAGGTCCATTCCTTATCTACGACACAACCCAACTGGATGACACCCATTATGGACTACTTACAACACGACGTCCTCCCAGATGACCATGCGGAAGCCCGCAAAACAAGAATACGGCCCGCCAATACGCCATCCTGGGAGGGGTATTGTACAGGAAAGGATACACGGCCCCATGGATCAAATGCATAAATAAGGCATCAGGAAAACAAGTCCTTCATGAAGCTCATGCCGTCTCGGAAGGGGCCCACGAGGGAGCGAGAGACCTTACAGGGAAGATAATCCGAATGGGAATCTATTGGACGGACATCCATGAGGACGCCACCAAGATCACTCGCACATGCGTAGAATGCCAAACCTTTCCCCCGGTGCAAAGCGTTCCCCCGAGGCCGCTAACGAGCATTGTCAGCCCCTGGCCATTCTAAAAATGGGGAATCGACATCGTAGGACAATTCCCAGAAACCCCCGGTAGAATCAAATTCCTAGTCGTAGCCATAGACTACTTCACAAAGTGGATAGAGCCAGAACCATTGGCGTGTATCGCAGGAAGGCAAATGATCAAGTTTTTTATGGAAAAACATCATCACAAGGTTTGGGACACCCAAAGTCTTAATCAACGATAATGGCCTATAGTTCGCCGAGAATCCATTTAAAGACTGGTGAGCGGAGAAGGGCATCGAGCAAAGGTTCACGTCCGTAGCACACCCCCAAGCGAATGGACATACGGAAGTGTGCAACCGGACGCTAGTAAATGGAATCAAGAAACGACTTGGGAAAGCCAAGGGCAACTGGATAGATGAACTCCCAGGGGTACTGTGGTTATACAGAACCATACCTCGTACAAGCACAAATGAAACCCTATTTAGCCTGGCATATGGCGCAGAAACAGTGCTACCATCAAAACTAATGATGGGGTTAATACGAACAACATACTTCCAGGACCAGGAAAACGACAAGGACTTGAGGAAAAATTTGGACCTCCTTGAGGAACGCCGAGAGCGATCCAGCATGCGCCAAACCATATACAAAAAATATGTGGAGGGATATTAGAACCATCAGGTAAAAGATAAGGCCTTTCGAGTAGTAGACCATGTCCTACGACGAAATGAGGCCAGCTACGCGCAACCACGCTCCAAGTTAGGGCCAGCATGGGAAGGACCATACAAATTGGTCGAGACGCATTGCAATGGGTCCTACTCCCTTGAAACAATCGAAGGGCGACCAATACCAAGGACATGGAACGCAAGGCATTTGAAGATATTCCACTTTTAGAAGGCGCTTCAAGACACCGTCGAGCAAACCCCTATGCAGAAGAGCACACATTGACCGAATTGATCACCCAGACCGGCGAACGGACACTCAGTGTAGTCCGACTAGGAACCTTAGTGTGTCGAAATGCCAACATCTTAGTATGATGATAACAAGTACTAAATGTATCTCAAAGATAAAAACCTTAGTGTGTTCAATAATACAAGCGCTTATTTAAAGAACAACGTTCATTATGAAGGGGATACTAAGTGAATCCATACTTTAGCATGCCATCAAGATACTCAGAGTATCCACATAAAATATAAACCTCAATGCCTTCTTAAGATACATCACACCTACAATGCATTAGAGCATAGTATATATCTTGAATAGAAACGTTGCGAATCTGAAAAGGCCAAGGAGCCCAAGGTTCTAGCACAATAAAAACAAGGTGACATGCGGGCCAAACATATACACACGCAAAAACATTAACACATAAAATACCAAAGCACCATGTTTCATTACACATAGCAAAATGCGGGCCACGCAGGGACTAACCATAACACAAAGAAAAGACAGAAGAAACAACAGAAACAGTAAATCATTTTTTCACACCCTGAAGGGTAGCTCAATGGAAAAAGTTCAAATTAAAGACCACCATCACCACCGCCATCGCCACAGCCACCTCCACCAGCACCGCCATCGTCATCACCGCCACCATCACCAGCACCACCATTACCATCACCGCCACCATCGCCACCTTGAACAACACCGCCATCACCATCACCGCCACCATTGCCACCTTCACCAACACCACCACTATCATCACCGCCATCATTGCCACCATCGCCATGTCCACCGGTACCACCATTACCATCACCGCCACCATCAAAATGTCCACCTCCACCAACACCAACACCGCCATCACCATCACCACCATCACCATCAATATTCATACATTCACAAAGAACAATCCCACCACCACCATGTACAACACCATCCATAAGATTGTTACCATCATCACAAGCACACAAGAGCCTGAGACCAGCCATATCCAACAACCCCAAACCAAGAAGAGCGGCGTAATCCATTGTAGGAAACACCAGTAGAGTATCTTCAAGACTGGATGTATGGATCGAATGGGAATCGCTGCCCTCTGGGTCGTAGGTCCCGACATCTATCTCAGCTTTCATGCCAACGCTGCCAGACTCCTCACCTGCAACGAACGCATCGTGATGAATCCGGCTGACACCACCTGTGAACTATAGATGTTCAATGAGTTTATCCATAATACGAACAACACCAACATGTAACAACCAATCACGATCCGCCCGCAACGATTCCAGCTCCACCCGCATCGTCTCTAGCTCCCGGTCATGATCAGAAAGATCACGCTCCAAACTTTTGTTCTGAATCATCAAACCCTCATTCGATTGGTTCAGAGAATCAACCCGAGCTTCTAGCGATGACCGGACCCCTTCTCTATATACACTTTTTTAGCAGTAAGCAGGTCATACTTTTGGTCAAAACCCTGGACAACCCTCTCCAACTCGGCAACCCAACACTTCAAGTCAACCTTGCTAGCCACAAGATCGAAATGTGCTCGCTCAAGATCATCAAACTGCTGAACTTGCCAGGAGCCAGCGATCAAGTAATATATAGATTGCGCAATGACGTAAGCCATGTTTCGAGAGAGAGAGAAGGCAAAGCCACCCATGGCATCCATATTACCTACGGTTACCGGAGGAAGAGCATGACGAGCGAACTATAAGGCATTTTTACGAACGGATAGTCAGGAGTCAGTACATAGATTCCACTTTGGGACAAACAGAGGCGCACCAGGGCCAATAAGCCCATGTGAGTCCTCTATAGGAATGGTCTCACGGTGCAAAACCTTTTCCCCACCACCCAATGAGCAGGAGGTAGAAGGAAACCTAGATACAGTAGTCGTCGGCACGTCGGGATGCTTAGACACCCCTTGACAACCCTCATACAGTTTAACGTCATAATCGGGTATCACCGCCACAAAACCAGGATCAGAAGAGATTGAAGAAATCAGACGTGCAAATCCACGTCTCTGCACAACACGCCTCCCAATCTGGATAGAACCACCTCCTGGAGAAGGTTCACCCATTACCGGGACGGCTTTTCGCTTCGCCATGGCACTATGAACACTCGACACGATCCCTTGATTGGTATCCTCCACCACTTCACCTGAGGAACCCTCAGCCGGCCGGATGACTAGGGCAGTGGGCGAAGGAATGATCGGAGCTGGCCCGCTTTCCGTCGTTGAAGAACTTCCCAAAGGCCGAGCGACCATGGACGACAGCTGGCTAAGGTGGCGGGGTGGAGGAAGGGTCTCATGCGGGTTCACCACACGATGCTCAAACTTCCCCTGGTACCCTTTCCGGAGGACTACATCCATGGAAACAGAACACTCAGTACATGTGAGCATGAAAACCAGTCAAATGGTTATTATATAAAGAAAAAAAGGGGGGATAAGGGACATGAGAATAACAACACTACCGTTGGACATAGTGAAGAAAACCAGCATTTCGCCATGCGCACGCTAGCTCGGGCTCATCCGAACACCGACAAGCTAGACCTCCGATAACCCATCGGCATCCACTTGAAGAGTCTTCAAGAAATCAAAAGTGGCTTTATTGTGGGGAAATAGCTTAGGAGTAACGTCCGAAAAGTTGTTCGCCCGGTAGGGATCCCGACCGAGTAACTCTCGATTAACCCATAACCATTTCTCCTGCTAGTTCTTCAGTGTCTTACTCTCCGAAACAAGGCTGGGACCCCCACGACAAGTAGAAAAGGTGTACTTGTCACCAGTAGCCCTAAATCATAAGAAGTATTTGAAGACGAAGAAGTTCGGGATGATGCCATTGGCTCAACATATCATCTCGAAGGCCACCATTTTGTGAATCGCATTAGGGGTCAAAATTTGGACGCTGCACCCATTACGATGGAGGAGTTCCTCCTGGAAGTCAGTCAAAGGTAAACAAAGACCAGCGTCGAGCATTTTCAAGTAAACGCCAACTTTCCCAGACGGAGGATAAGTGATCTTGGCGCCGGAAATCGGGAATTCCACCCCGTTGGACAGGGACAAACCATACATCTCTTGCAGAGTGTCAAACTCAGAGGCGGTAGGAACAAGACTAGCCGGAGTCGTCATATCAAGAAATTACTAGAAGAAGAGAAGAAGGATGAAGTGTAGAGAGAAAGTGGGAAAGACAAAGAGTTCCTCCCAGGATATAAGAAAGAAGATATAAGGCGAGACTTTTTAAAAACCTGACAAGTGACGTAACCGACAGAAGGGATAAGCGGTCACATCGCCGAAATTGAAGTGACGAGCGAACGACTTTCCAACACGTGTAAATGGTAATTAAGTCCAGAACATCATAACTAGCTAGCAAACTCTATGACTACTGGACTTGATGACGCGTCTCCTAGCGCGGGCTAGGAGCAAGATCTCTAGGCCGAAGGATCCTCCAGTTAGCCCAGCCAGACCCAGCCTGAACGCCCCAGCAAGAGCTCCAGCGCTCGGGCGTTCCCTCAGGGTGGGACGCCCGTGCGAGAGGTCCGACCCTATCAAGAGCACCCCCGTTACATGACGAATACATCGGCTCCGGACGACAAAGAGTATGCCCCGAGCATTATTGCCTGAGCCAATCGTTGGCCCCAACACATCAGGGAACACGATTAGCCAATCAGAGTAATGGATTTGTCGGAAATTCAGTCCTTGTTCCTTGTACGGAACAACGAGGATCCTTAGTATAAAAGGGCCTCCGTTCCACCTTGAGAAGTAAGTGATATCTCTCAGTTCTCATCACTCTCATCCATATATCTCCCACTGACTTGACCATCGGATCATCTTCCCGGGACCTCCTCCCGGGAGACGGCTGACGGCCTTGCTTGTTGTGACTTTGCAGATTCCTCCGACGACAGTGAACACTCTGAGAGCCGGTGGTCGGAGCTAAGGTCGCATCACTTTATATTTATATTTTGTAGGTATAAATTTCATGTTAATGAAAAGGAACGAAAATGGGCTAAAATAGAGCTATATTGATAAGTTGGAGCAAAACAGGAAAATGCTTGCTAAATTATAAATTAGCTGATGAACCCATATTCAGTGTTTGGGCCATATCTTTTGACTCGTAACTCTTATTATTGAACTTAAATATATTATGGAAAATACATAAAATTTCCTACAACTCATGTGTAGGTGCCTTTTTGCTAATTCGTCTTCTATCTAGTCAAAAATCGGACTTAAAGTTAGACCAATAAAGTTGGAGAAGATTCTGAAGATATTTCCCGAATTTAAATCTCGCTAAGAAATGTTTGTCGCCCTGCAATTTAAGTCGGTCTCAAAAAACTATAAATAGAACCCTAAATTTGTCCAACATATGGAGATATAGTTCAAAGGGAAATTTCCAGAACCCTAAAGGGGCGAAAAAGGGCAGAAGACCTTGAGTTTTGCATGCTATTGAAGCTATGAATAATTTTGGTTTGCATTATGCTTAGTTTCTTTGTTCTTGTTAGTTATTTAGTTTTTATTATGGACTAAGTCCTTATACTTCTGATTAGATGTAGACGATCTATGATTATGGTTTAACTCATTGAAAGGAATTTGATAGTTATTTAATTTACTATGTTAATGCTTGACTAAAGATCCATGAAAATTGATGATGATTTTACCATGTTTATATAACCGAGTGCATGATTTTTTATTAGGTTCAAATTATATATGTTGAATCACATTATTTATTAACTTTTCCAATCTGGAAAATTGAGTCAAAAGCATAGGCAATTGCGACTAGTGGAAAGCTCCCTAGATTAGGCATAATAAAATTGATATCAATATTTGTGATTGATCCAATAATTTAGACAATTTGAGAAGTTGACACTAACCCTGGAACTGATCATACTTGTTAAGTAATTACTATTGGGGTTTTTAGGTTACAATTATTTTGTACGTGCGGAATTTCACTTAACTCTTAAGGGTACATTCAACCTAATTGGATCTGTCTTTTCTCAATTAAAAGCAACATACTTATGAAACAAAAACTATAAAAAATATGAATCAAATTCATGAATAGAACCACATACCTTATAGATTAAGTCGAATTAAGCTAATCAAAACCTTGATAACCTCCTGGAAAAACTAGCTCCAAAAGTTTGCGAGCCTCTCATGCGTCACACCTAAAACACAAGAAACCCTATGATTGAAGGAGAGAGGGGAGAAGAAGACGAGAACTTCATTCTCCACCTTTAGGTATGAGAAATCCATGATATTAGGTTCCCTAAGGGTCCTATTTATAGTCTATGTAACTTGCATACAAAGCCAAATTTGAATGATTAAAAAGTAGATTTAATACCAATTCAAATCCTTTCCTTATCAACAACTAGGAGGCTTCTAGAAACCCTAAATATGCTCCCAAAACCGTCCATGCCATGGACTATTCTATAATTGCTTCTTTTGTTCAACTATTGAATAATTACAATTCACCCCTTGCACCTTTAACTAATTCTAATTAATCCCAAGTTAATTCCAGATTAATTTTGATTAATAATTAATCAATTCTGACTCTCTTTAATTAATTCATATTAGTTATTAACTATTTATAATTAATTTATTAATCACATAATAAATTAACAAACCATTTATCTCTCTCATTTGATCAATTAAATATATTTCCTAGTTATGAGGGCAACCCAAAAAGGACTTTACTTTTATTCATCAACACTATACCAATTTAGTTAGGACCTTAGACACTTAAATCCAATAGTCTCCCACTTGGATAAGTCGCTAACTATAATTATAAGTATAACTCCGAATAACCAGTAAAGAGTATTTTCCAAAGACACTAGTAAACTCGGATTAGACGTTGGTCCTAAGATAAGTGATCAACTATCCTTCGTTCTACAAGATATCGTATAGAGATGAGAT